AGAATTTCTTTGTTTTTGTGTTCCCCCCCTGCAGTTTTGTGCAGGGACTTGCTGCACAGACGCAGACCCCAGCGAGGCGTGGGGGCGTGGGGGCAGAAGTGGAGACTGCACGGGGCCCTCGCCGCCCCCGCCCTGCCTATGCACCACGCCGCCGCCGCCGCCCCCGGGCCGCGCACCAGCGTGAGGGGGAAGAGGATGAGCAGCATGATGATGCCTGCCCCCGGGATGCGCAGGAAGGCTTCCAGCCACTTGGGCAGCTTGACCTGCTGCATGGCCTGCACGCACAGAGGGGTTGGCAGGAGGGCAGGCAGGGAGAGATGTGGTGGGGCGGGGAGGCCAGGCAGGGAGGCACGCAAGGGGGGGGTGCAGGCGTGGCTGGGGGGGCCCGCCGCCGCGCGGCGGCCTGCCGCCAAAGCGCAAGGCAGGGCAGGGCAAGCACGGGAGCGGGCAGGGCAGGCGACATGTCACATGTGCTCCCCCGCCCCGCCCCCGCTGCGTGCCGCACGTTGCTGGCCTCCCATTCAGCATACGACATGCCCTCGGGAGCATCTACGTTGATGTCGTCCACTGCAGGCGGAGGCAGAGGCAAGGGGCAGCGTCGGATGACCCGTGCGTGGCCGCAGCCTCCTGGCCAGCCCCGGCCAGCCCCGCCCCGCCCCGCCCAGCAGACGGCCTCCCGGACCCCGTCCCGGCGGCACAGCACGCTCCAGCAGGTGGGCGGCCCGGGCCCAGCCCAGGCCCCGCCCAGGCCCCGCCCCGCGCAGCCCGCCGGCGCGGTGGCGCACACGCACCGTAGGCATCATAGGCGCGCTTCTTGATGGCGTTGTTCAGCGTGCCCCAGGCCTGGTTGAGCACGGCGGAAGCGTCGGCGGCCCGGGCGTGCTTGCACTTGTCCGGGTGCACCAGGCGGCTGCGGGGGTGGGGCCGGGAGGCAGGGGAGGCAGGGGAGGCGGGATCTGGGGACGGGGGCAGGCGAGCGAGGGCGGCCATGCGGCAGCCAATGTGGTGGTGCTGCGTGTGTCCACAGGCAGAGCGACGGTGGGCTGCCTCAAGCCCAAACGCGGCCCGCCGCCTTCCAGCCGCGCTTCCCCGCCGCCTCCTCACCTCAGCTTGTAATAGTTGGCCTTGATCTCGCCTGAAGGAAGAAAGTCCGGCAGGAACAAGGCCAACGGTCAAGGCCAGGTAGCAGAGGCAGCGGGAGGGGGCGGGCACGGCACTCCCTTCAAGCTGACGTGTGCCTCCCTCCGGCCCTGCACCTACCCATGGGCGTGTCCTTGCGGACCTTGAGCACGTAGTAAAAGTTCTTTTCGTACTTTAGGATGCGCTCCACCTCGGCATCGGCATCCTTGCCAGCGGCGGCGGCGGCACGGCGGCAGGCGGCTTCTCAGTGTGTACGGCGCAGCGCGGTGCAACCCCGCGTCCGCCCGCATGGCCCGTTTCGACCGTGTAAAGTTGATGCGCCTGCAGGCGGCAGGAATAGGCGCCTCCGCTCACCCAAAATTCGCCTGCTTGCCGGTCATGCTCATGCCGCGCGAGAGGGGCCCCTTGGGGGCCTGCCCAGCCTCCACATCCGGTGCTGGGCTCGCCATGGAGACAACACGCGAGGGATGTTGGTGATGGAGCCGGAGAGGGCCCAGGCAGCTGCTGCAATGCGTGGAATACGAATTCCAAGCCAGCTCACATGCCCAGCGATCCCCACTCTAGACCTGCCTGGGAACGCCAGATCAGCGCCGCCACACCCCCGCCGCCCCTCCCTCTTCCGCCCCAGATTCTGATGGTGAGCGAATGCCATTGCATGATCGGTAGCATGTACAAAGCATACAAAAATAGACAGGTTGAACGGGCCTGGCGATCGGATGAGAGCTGTAGCGGCCGCGGCACAAAGCGGGCAACAAAAGCAGCAGTTTCTGTGCGGCAATGGGGCGCACGGGGAGCAATTGGTACAGGCCTGCGTGCCTCTTCAGAGGCACGGGGCAAGGTGGGTGCGCAGCCTCGCACCGCCGGAAATCGGGAGAAAGAAGAGGGCATGCCTGGGGCAGGCGCTAGTTGCGGAGGCAGCTTGCCAGAGTAGAGCCGCAGCGGGGCGGGGCTAAGGAGGCGAGGCGTGCGCTGCAAACAGCGTGGCATTGAGGGGCAGCGAGACAGGGAAAAGCAATCCTTGGTTGGATTATCTTCTCGCTTGGAAGGGGACAATGTGTGAGGCAGCGGGCAGGGAGCAGGATGCAATAATGGGCCCAAAGAGAGAGACAGGAGGGCGCAGACACAGGCGGCAGCCAGGGGGGTGGTGCAGAGGGGTACCCGCCTGCTGCCCGGCAATCCATCAAGAATCGGCCCACCAAAGGGAGTGATCAGGCGCGTAAAATGGTGACAAGGCAGCACACAAGTTCAGCAGCGACAGAGTTGTTCTACCAGCGGCCGGCCAGGGGGCAGGCGGATGGGGGAGAGGGGCAGAGCGACAGGCCCAAAGACAAAGCAAAGACAGCGAGACAGGGTCATTGCTATTGACCATTGTATGTATGTATGGGGGGCCGCGGGGGCGAGTGCACAAGTGCTGGTGAGTATGCAGTGTGCATGCGCGAGCTGCTGACAGCAGGCCCGCGCATAGTGCATGCCAGAGAGGCGCCCGGGCCAACAGACGGACAAGTAACCGGCGCTAGTGAGCGATCTAGCGGTCAGGTAGCGATTGTCAGGGACGGGAAAGAAGAAGAAGGTATCGGCAAACAAGTGGCGAGGCGAGTCATGTGGGTAGACAGGCTGTGACGGGACGGGACACTGGGACTGGGACCAGACAGTGGTGGGGGGCGACGGGCACATGATGGTGGTGGGGCGGGGTTCGGGCGGTACTGCTGCAGCGTACCGCGCGGCTCACTGGTGGGGACGGGTCGGGACCAAGTTCTGTGTGGGGTCAGTGCTGCTGTGTCAGGGGTTGGTGCTGCAAAACTGCGGCGCAGGGGGCGGCGCTGCCTGGAAGACAAGTGGGCTGAGGGGTGGAAGTCGGGGGGAGGGGTGGGTGGGGCTGGCGGGCTGAACCGAGGGCGCCACGTGCGGCGCTGGAGGGCGCGGCGGCAG